GATTATAAAAATAGAATAAAGTTTGCTTTTTTTGTTGTGGAACGAGTTTCTATTTTGTTTTTTAGGTGATGTTCATTTTTATGGATATCAAGATGATTCATAGGATCGAACAACATATCATATCGGATTTAAATTTTAATAGTTCATATATTTTACATCGTGAACATTCAGAAAATCAATTGACTGCAATGATGTTTGTTATTTTATATTAATCAAAAAATTTTATTTTGATTTTTGTTTTTTAATTTCTAGGAAACATATTGAAAGTAATTTACCATTACCAGTAACAAATGATTCATTAAGAAATTTTGCTCAATTAATTTATTTAAGTCAAATAAATCAAGCTATGACATTAAAAAGTATAAGTGATCTTTGTCGACTTCATTCATCAACAGATATGATTTATCCAAAAACAAGTCAAAGGTAAATTTTTTTTTTGTTCTACAAATATTTTATTCTTTGTTTTTGTTAGTCATACCATGGGCTTAATGTATTGGCAAATAAATAATATTTGGCAAGCACCAACATGGGCAACAATTGAGTATGGATTAAAATGGAAAATGAGTCATTATTATGTTGGTCATATGTATGTACCTGTTTATCCTATTGCTATGCTTACACCTTATTTAGCTAATGTTACAGATGAAAATGCTCAAGTTTCATTTTATGTTATTAATGAATTACTTAATGATACACGTGGTGATTTAATATGTTCAATTTATACATTAGATACATTATCACCTCGTTTATCATTTGGAAATGATATTTTATTTACTTCACCTGGTGTACAAAATATTATGAATTTTCCTTATTCATTATTAATGAAACGTGTTGATTGTAAAGATAACTCTCCATGTATAATTCATTGTTTATTAAATCATAATCAACATCAAATAGGACAAACATTATTTTTAAATCGACCAAAAAATTATCAATTATTAAATCCTAATTTACAAATTGAAAGTATTAAACAAATATTATCAACAGATTCTAATATAACAATTACTGTTGATCGACCAGCTTTATTTGTGTGGCTTGATATAACAACTAATGTAACTGGTTATTTTTCACGAAATGGATTTCATGTTTCAACCAAGAATGACTGTTAATTTTCATTCATGGATACCAATTAAAGATTTTGATATACGTCATACTTCATTGTTTGACGTTACATTACCATAATTCTTTTTTTTTCTTTCACTTGTTTTCAAAGCAATAAATAAACTATAGGATTTATTCATTAAGAATGATTAGATAAAAATCATTTCGAAAGAGTCTATTTGTTCAAATGTATTGCTTCTCCGATATCAAAACGACGAATATATGTGAATTATTTATAGATAATGATGATACATCATAGAACTGTGAGAAGTTGCTGATCGAAACTAATTTAACTTGAAAATTTCGTAAAAAAATGTTTAAAAAAAAATTGTCAACGGAGGTAAAATGTGAAACTTACAGATGTTCTTTTACCTTATTTCCTCTGCTGAAAGGAGGGTAATGCGCTGAGTAGCTACAACGACCGAATGTTCGTTTGTGTATTCGTCGTAGAGAACGAAAAGAATGTTCTTT